CCAATATACAATAATAATAAAGACGAAGTCGAAAATACATAGTACCGACTAGCTACTCTTCGTTAGGTTTCGGTCGTACCTATACGTTATAACAATATCATAGTATACCTATATATAATGATTTAAAAATAATGTATACCTACGAAAATCGGTTTTTTTCAATGGAAAAATATCTGCACGTACTCGAGCCTCGTCGTCGTCGTCGTGCAGTGCAAACATTATTATATCATAGATATTATAAAAGTAATAATAATACAATAAACAGGCATATCGGCGATGTGCGATCCGTGTGCAGCAATAATAGCCATTGTTCGGGGATTTTTTTCTTTTTGAAAACCGCTCTTTCGGTCGGCTCGCGGGGCAGTGTATATTACATAATATTTTATATAGAAATATAAAAAAAAATAGGTAAAAATATGTGTATATAAATAGGTACCTATGTGTGGACATGTCGTCCTTCTATATGATATATAATATGTATGCGTTTATGATGTAGTGCATTAGTGCATTACAGAGTGTGCCTCACGCGAACGGTACTTTAACCGCTCATATATAGACGTGAATACCGCTACGCGCGACGGCGGAAAGAAAATACAAAACAGCGACTGCATCGGCGACGGGAATAATAATAATATGAAATCGATCCGGTCGATAAGTAAAATATTATGCACACATCGTCTTTTGGTAATAAATTACAATAATAATATACCTTAGACATACCTACACAAACGCCATAACTATGTATAATAGTGTCCACTCCTGTAGTCATATGTGTGTGGTAAGTGGCAACGCATCGTTTATACGTTTATACACTATATATGTTTGGTATCAATGGCGAAACCAGAGGGATGGACGAGTGCAGTCTGACCTATCATGTGACTATTGCGGATATTTTATACTTATAACCGATGAGACGGGGAAAATTATATTTTTTTTTTCTTGAAACCTGTTGAATTCAATAAAAATTAAACCATTAAAATATAATAGTTTACAATTCAGTTGCGTTCACACACACAAAAGGGGATGTTCAAACCCACCTAATTTTACTATGCGTATATTATATAGATGAATAATAATGATAATACGATTAAAAATATATTTTGATATACACGTATATAATATAATATATAATTATATTTAATACGACCCCACCCGTTTAAAATATCGGTGTACGTCACTGCGCAGTGGCATAGTATAATGAATTATGTTCTTCAAAGAATAGCCAGATGTGATTCGTTCTATTATTTCCGACGCGGCCATAATTCCAAAGTCAACCCACTCAGAGATCACACTGGATTCGAACTTAACCGCAATCAGTCAGATATTATATGCCATATATGCGTGGAAGCTTTTTTAAAATGCTCGTCGGGAAATGAGCAGCATAAAAAATGTATACAGACTTTATACGTTTTGTTAAATAATTTTGACGTGTCACGATGCAAACACATTAACGTTTGTAATTATATCATTATGGCATATCGCCTATATACAAAGTACAAACACGTTGGAACAGGCTATGCAAGTCAATGTTAATTATATTATACTGGACGATTGTGTAATTGTGTGACATGTTGTCCGACCGTGTTAGCCCTAGCCAATTCACATTTCTGTCTGTGTGATATCATTTTTTTTTTTTTTTTGGTCATCACCTCCTCCCACACACTGTTAAAAAATTGTAAATAAGCCTCAGAACGGCCGTGGTATACATATATTGCCCAGGTATATAAATATTTAACTTTTTTCACTCAGGAACGGTTACACAAAATTAAGACTTCTTCAAAACATTAATAATTACGTTTGAAATATGGTGAATTTTATAAAAACGCATAGAACCTAATAAATATTAAATAGCCTCGAGTTTGTACCGTCAGTTATTTACAGCTTGCAGCAGTTGTTTAAAAAACAAAATATAAAGAGACAGTCTGAGGCACATTTCAATGTACCTATATTGTATTTTGCCGAATTTATTGTGCGTTGTATCTGTACTTCAAAAAAAAATCTCAAAATCATATAAAATTAAAAACAAACAAGATAATAATATAGGTATTATGGTATGTACAGTGAACAGTTTATTTTTTGGAATATTCACTGCAATTATAGACGAAACAGTGGTCAATACTTACCCGATGGCCACAGTGCACTATATAATATCCAAAGCATGGATATAATAGAAAAATTCTTCCATTATCTATGATCCAAAGGTATCCATAGGGTCTACGATTAGGGACGAATTCAGTATGCAGTGGTGTGTGTAGTGGGCACATTGTTCACTATATTATTAAACACTAATGTCTGTTAATTCCGTCTGCAAGTATAATAATATAATATAATTATATTGCGCTCGTATAAAAAAACTGTAGCGGGATGCTACAATGCTGCATAATGCTGCAAATCGCATAAAAAAAAAAAATATTTAAATATACGCACGAGCTTGCAAAAGCCACTATATAAACGTTTCCATTCAAAACTAATAAACCACTTAATAAGCCACTTCATTCAAAACATGTCCCATCTTACATTACCACAAATCAGTGGCTTGCCGAACTGACAAGCAGACCTGAGGCAAACTATACAATTTATTTGATCCCCCTCCCCACCACCAACCGTTTTTCACTATTTTTTTTTTATTATTCAAAATAATAAATATTATTAAGTTTTTTTAGGTATAAGTTGCACATCTATACTAACACACCAACCCACCTACCCGAATTTTCCCTGAGGCAATCGCCTCAAAAAATTTCTATTCAGCACGCCTCTGCCACAAATTGCACGTCGATTAAAAAGAAATCGGTCGAGATCTCCTCAAATAAGGGGAAAAAAACATTTTTCTGAGGTTCTGTCAACGGTCTCCTCTTCGCGTGATTCACGTCTGCATACATTTTTTTTATATTATCCTTAATACTTATTGTTTTTATTTTGTAAACAAATCGAATATACTTAAAAAAAATTCAAAATATATATATATACCTAGGTATATATAATATATATTTAAACATACACAGCGCTGATGAACAACTCTAACGCTCAGGTATAAAAAATATATGTCACGCTCTTATTGTAATATATATTGTACCCAACATTATTATATAGGTTACCTCGGTCATTATAATATTATTTGCGCATAGCTGTGTATATATAGTGTACAATTAATATACACTTATATATATATATATTAATTTATTACAGGGTTTTCGGCTGAAATATCATTAGACACCGCATTATTATTAAATCGCGTGCGGTCATTATAATATACTAGGTACCCATACACAACCACGGTCGCGGTTATACACGATGTATATCAATATAGTATACTGATTATTAATACAAAATATCGTTTAGGTATGTAGGTTATGGGGTACAAATGCTATACAACTGCCAACGTCGGCTAGTGAATTCGTCGGTTTTCATGGCCAAGACTTGGCGTAGGCGACATCGCGTGGAGACGAGCTCGCGGGTGCAGCATTAATGGTCTTCCATATAATAATATCATAATACTCGTTTTCTCTATCGTGATAATACTATTGTTTTATACCGCACGTGGAGAACTATAATAATATTATCGGAGTGTGCAGTGCACTGTACGTCATATTATATTAGACGTATCGTATTCAGTCACCGCAAACGACGATCAAACGTATTATTCTGTTAAAACATGATCCGTCTAACTATACATATACAAATATATAATATGATTTTATGTAGGTATATGGGTGACCTTCGTTTCTGTTTTTGGTTTTTTTTTTTCACTCGTCCATCTATATAATATTATAATAATACGCGTCTCACGACTCGAGTGTATATCGGAATAGATTAAATCGCCATTATATACTTGCGGTGTAACATATATATTATATAAGTATATAGTAATATTCGTCGAAATATAATTTGATATCGTTAGTGGGTATATAACTTACTGCTGCTGCGTGTAATGTAGTGGGCGATCGGGTTTGTTGTGTTTTGGTACCTATACAATAATATTGTTTCATACCTATATATACAAGATGTTGCCGGAAGCATCGCTCATTATTTCGAAAACTATTAACGTTTTTGAAAATATTTTTTCCAAATAATATTAACTGAAGTGGTTACAAAACAGCATTTCACGTAAAAATAATCGATATTTTATCGTTATAATTTTTGATAAGTTATTTGCTTTTACGAATGACAACACAATGTACATTTTTTATTTCAAAACATTTTTCGAAGTATGTTTCGATGAATACAAATCTAAATTCAAACGTGTAGTCAATAATTATTAGTCATAATTTATAAATATGTATCCAAAGGTTAGATGAGTAGATATAATTATAGTAGTGGACAATTATTTTACCCACGACCCACCCCGAGTGCTGATCCGCTGTCCTTAAATACTCGCCTGTAACTAGTTATTAAACCAAAAAATATTCTGCTTAGTAATGCGAAATTAAAAATGTACGCACTACGCAGGTCGTAATGCCATTAAAAAAAAGTAGAACAACTTGTACTGAAGATGATAAAGATTAAAAATGACAGAAAATATAATTTATTTTTTTCATAAATGTCGCTTTGTGATGACCTCAAATTGTGTACCTATGTATAAAACTATAAAATTGCTCAAGTTTTTAAAATAATTGGTGTCAACCTTTGAAAATCACCCGGTAATCGGTATTCTAACCAAACTTATTTCAATTATAATATATTGTATTATACATAATATATAATAATGTATACAATTTCAACCGTTGCAAATATACGTGAAATACGCACATTATAGTTATAACTTATAATATAATATGAGACCAACTGCACCTTATAATGTTATATTCTCGTCACGATTACGATTATAATTTTCCTTTTGTTGATATTCATTAATATAAATGATATGCCTACGTCGTGATGAATATTCATACCTACCTATTACTATATAATTTACAAATATATTTAATATATTTGCATACGGGGCTCAATCGTCGATTAATAATAACACATTTTTAACATAAACGTTTTTTTTATTATTTCAGATACTCGGCATAATATGTTTGGCACTTGCCTCGCCGGCCAGGTTACCGGGTACCAATTGGTTCCTGTTCGTGGTCATCATCAGTTTCATAGCGACGGCCATCTGGTCGTTTGTCTACCTCCTTTCCATCCGGGAGGCTATCAATTTCCCAATCAATTGGGTGCTAACGGTATTATTATTATTATTATTATATCATTGCAAGTACGTTTTTTTTTTGTTTATTGTGTTCTTAATAATTTTTATCATTAATTATAGCAATAAAATTTGTATACAGGTATTTCATATATTATAGGCTATAGCTATATGTAAGTAAAATAAAACTATAATTTTTGTTTGAGAAGATTATTTTTTTCCTGGCCGAATCCATAGGTTGTTTTTAGACTGCCTGTTCTGGAGGAATCGATATATCTTCTTATCCCCTATTATGAAAAGGTCATGGCGGAATCGATGAAACCCCAATATCATATATTACGTCATGGCCAAAGACAAACAAAAAACACACAAATATATTATATAGTTTTCAAACAAAGCGTATTTGAAAGTTTCAATAAATTAAAGGCCATTTAATTTTTAATTGGACAAATGTAACCTCAGCCCGATAATATTAGAAGCTAGAGGACAAAAAGGTCGATTGTAAATTTAGCCCTAGTAACTTTTTACATAATAATATTAAGGGTTTTATACCCACAAGATTTTAATAAAAAATATGTATCTCGTGTTCTTATTATGTCAGAAAATTACTAAGGTTCATAAAATATAACAGTTTATGCGTTAAAAATTGTATATTCGAACCCCAATGGCCAATGTTGAGAAGATCTTTTCTATGCTTACGCCGTGATTCGTGACCCAAACCACTTGAGCCCAAAATACCTAAGCCACCTAAACCTAAATCTTGCAATAACCGGGACTCTGTAGAGTTTAAAAAATCTGAGCCCATCAGTTTAGACAAAACATTTTGAGTATCTGATTTCGTTGTCAATAAGTTTAAATTATATTATAACCAGAAACATCATTTTTTTTTTCCAGGAATTCTTCAACACGCTCCTGCTGACCGTCCTGTACACGGTCGCGTTCATCGTACAAATTTCGGCCTGGTCCCGGCCGTACCAGTCTTATTACAGGAACCCAAACATAGCTGCAGGAGTAAGTGTGCTATATTATGTTAATACTGCAGAGCGATTCATTTAACAGTGGGCGAACACTCAGTACCCACGTCGAATAATATACTAAAGTTTTTGGAAATAAGTATATTTTTTCTTCATGAATTGGATAATTTCGATAGATATAAATTTTATTTCTAAGGAGCGGTTAATTGTGTTTATATTCAATATGAACCTATAGCTATTTGAAGTTTAGTCGATTGGAGTAGGTATAGGTAGTAGCTGACCGAAATGTTGTGAATCTGCGAAGCTGTACCACTCCGCTCCGCTTATCAAAACTTTAGACACTATTTATTTATTTCAGCATGATTCAATAACATTACAATAATTTATTTATATACCATACGGTTATACACAGGTGGTGGATTTTCAAAAATTTTCTAGGGGGGTATCCTAAAAAATAATATGTATTTCAAATGTATTAATTATATATCGATTTATCAGTGTCTGGGAGGGGGGGCGTAAATCCGCCACAGGCTGATATACGTATACTGATTGAGCTTAGCTCGTACCCGATAAACTTATTGAATTTAAACACAATTAAGTATTAACTATTCTTTTGAAATTCGATTTTTGTGTTTCAACATTTTCAGAAAAATGTTCTGCTTCGGAAAACGTGAGTTTAGAAATGCGAATTTCGTCATTCGAATAATTAAAAACTTAAATGAATACGGCGATAAAAAATGTTAAAATGTATAAATTCTTTACAGAAATGTGTTCTTCTTGAAAGACACTCCAAAATATTATATAGATAAAAAGATGCTGGTTGGTAATACTTTTTGGGACAATGAGTGTTCGTCGTTAAAAGAAGCACTCTGCAGATAATAATAATAATAATAATAATAATAATAATAGGGTGTATTACGGATTCAATGAGTAATGTAACCGCATTACTGGTTGTCTGTGTGGCGTGTGCTTATAACTAATGATACCGTTTTTTTGTTTTTGTTCGCTTCCCTACTTAGGTGTTCGGAATTATCAACGCGGCTGTGTACGGAACTGGAGTGTATCTGATATTTAGCGATTGGAAAAAGTCGAGGACTTCATCGACTGTTCAACAGCAATAATATTCGGGAGGACAGAAGAACAAGCCTGCTACCTATATTAATAAATAAATTTGTCCCCAGACATACGATATTATAATATATAATATTACTTATTTTATAATACACTATAATATAGAACCCATCTGTTTTATATTTGTAGGTAGATAATAATAATGGTAAGATACATAATTTTAGATCGAATCGTAAATATAAATATCACATCCATACAACTATAATAATATAGTATATGTATTATTACCTGTATTATAGGGTACATAATATGAAACTCACTGCTAATAGCCAAATCGATATTTAAGATTATTTTCACGAAGTACCCATCAACATTTAATGTGGGTTCCTATAGGAGTATAAAAAACTAACCGTAGCAGGGCGCAACAGGTATCATCAAAATTCACACATATTAAGTTTTTACACATTAATTCATTCATGGTAAGAGTGAAAAATATAAAAATATTAAACATTAACTCGACGTTTTTTCAAACGATTTTTTTGCACCTCTTCGGCTATTTTTCACGAGGTCTTCTCCGCGCGTATGTGTACCTGCAATTTACATTTAAACAATTATATATATATAGTATTATGTTGGCTAATATACTTTCACAACATATATTAAAGAACTTAACTATTTATAGACATATAATATAATATATTATGTGCATTTTAAATATTTCCTAACTGTAGACCGGAAGGTGGTAGATAAGGTACCTATGTTTCAGACGCACCTAAACATTTACATTTCACTTTAAGCCAGTTAGGTTAGGGAATGATGTGTTTAATTATCAAACGCCAAGTACGATTGAAATGAAAAAAATATCAAAAATTGAGTACATTTCAAAAGTTTGAAAATAGTAAAAAAAAAAAAAAAATCGTATTGGAATTAATAAGTTTTAAGTAGGAATTGAAAAAGTTTGAACATCGTATATATTATTAAGTTTTTTTTTTAAAATAGTAAGGCCCAATGTGTTATGAATATTGTCACTTAGTTTCAATTTTGTTTACGATGTGAATATTTTATTATGTTGTAAATTAATAATTTACATTTGGTTTCCTCTATTAGTTTTGTATAGATAATTGGAACAAATACATTTTAATAACCAGTAAACAGATTATAATATGCGTTTGATTAAACACCGAACGATACTTAAATTATTTGTAAATATATATTTATTTAATAATTTCGTCAATCATAATGATATAATATTATATGCTTATGTGCTTATTTTACTGGATACAAATATCTTATATAAGGCTAATACTATGGTTTTTTTTTTTTTTAATGCCTACCTATATATTTTGTTATTTATAAGTTTATACATCATTATATTATACCTAAAGTCAATTGAAATATTTTTAATTTTAATTTTTTGTATTTAATTTTATTACAATAATTATAAACCTACATATTATTACATTAATGCGTAATTACAATTATATCAATGTCAAGCATGTTTTGTATTATTTTTTTACCATAGATATGTATTTGGGCTGGGCACAAATTTTATTTTTCAATATAATTTTTCGATTACTTTCAGATGATCGCGAGATAGACACTTTATTTATTGCCATAGAAATTAGAAAACCAAGTCAACAATGAAAATAAAATGAATTTAGTTCATAGCAAAATGTATCATATTACTATAGATAATATTTCCAATTCCACTGTGTCCAAAAAATACATCAGCCATATTTTATATGATTCCCCAATTTTCCTTGCAGAGGAAATATATCTAGTAGCATGGTCCTTATTATAATAATATATACTTACCAAAACACATTTTAGATTCTGAGTGGATTAATTTTAGAACGACGTGTGTGTTTTTTTTTATTTAATTTAATCTGTCTGACTTCACCTTTTGGACAGTAAAAATGCTTTGATTTTCTTCGACAACTTCTTTTCTGGTAGGAAAGTGAATCTATAGTTGCTACTTTGGAGTGTCAAAATTAAAAATGTCCAATAATATTCAAAAGTAACAGGAAAACCCAACAAAAAATTAAGTTAAAACCTGAGATTTTTAGGCAAAACCTGCAGTTTTCAAAAAAATTGATTTTGTCATTCAGTTTAACACTAAAAACAACCGTAGATAGGTACATGAAATTTACACTGAATGTTTATATTAGCAATTTCTATGCACCTTATAAATTTCGAATTATCGCTACAATTTTTTAACTATTTATAGACATCAGAAAATTTCTTGTTATATTGGTTTGTTTCAAATTATTTTGGATAAAATATTTCATGCTCAATCGAAAAACTTGAAAATGTAATAAGTACAACGTTTCTCATAAGTTATTGCTAGTGGAAATTAAAAAAGAGTTGCACATAAGTGCACGGTATTTTTTTATGAATGTCTGAAGTCAAAATCAAAATGTTGACAAAATTCATCAAAATCACAAAAATAGGCAAATTATTTCGAGTTAGAAAGTATTAAGTTTTTTATATTTCACATATTTAAGCTGCAGTATTTCAACGTGTATTATTAAGTATGTAAGGTTACTAGAGACGAAAAAGTTGGGGAAGTGGGTGTCGCTCTGCTGTACAGTAGGTTACAAGTGGGTCACCATAAGTAATAGCAATATAATATAAATATATAATAAAATATACTAGCTGACAAACTGCCATTGCTCTGAATCGTTTTTCATATACAATGATATTATATTATTATTGAATCCAAATTTAATACCATCACATCCATTACAGTGACCTACTTGTAAGTCGTAACCTATTGTACAGCAGCGACATCCACTTACCTGCTTTTTTATTGTTTTTCTCGGCTCTTTTTAATACTACTGGGAATATTAAATTGTTAAAAACTAATGATTCACTTTCCCATCAAACAAGACACAAGTTGAAAATCGAAATATTATTTCGAATACTTTCCGTTTACACAGTCACAAATAAAAAAAACTTGCTCTGCTGTACAGTAGGTTACAATTGGGTCACTGTATAATGGATGGTATTAAATTTGAATTCAATGATATAATATCATTGTATAAGAAAAACGATTCTGTGCGAAAACGGTCAGTCAGCCTATGATATTACTAAGTATATTTGATGATATTATGGTGAACAAATTAATTTATATATTTACCTATTTACATGGTCCCTTGTTTTGTATTTTCAATCCTCAGCTATAAAATTTGAACATTTTATACATTTTTAACTACAAAATAATTATTAAATTTTAAATGTGATAAATTTTGTCAAAATTCGAACTTTAAATGCTTATAAAAAAAAATTGTGCCCATGTATTTTAATATTTTTCAACTGCTATTGTGACATTATATCAGGAGCCTTGCATAACATTTTCACGCTTTTTTACCCAACAAATAAAATTTTATTGATATGATATTCATAGAAAAAAAAAACTAAAAAAATTTGAAAACTGACAATGTCAGTAAACAACTTACTACTTAGTCAAATTATTTTCAAAAATTTATAATTTATAGAAAATGGAAATATAAACATTCAGTAAAATTTTCATGTATTCACAGTTATTCGGTTTTGAATATAAACTAAAATAAACAAAACCGCTACATGAGACATCGAGTGAATATCCATTATTATAAACATTATGAACTTTTTTTTTTTTTAGGCATTATAGGCCCTTTAGGCCCTTGCTGCCAATATCAAGTCTTCCACTCCTCTATTATATGCATACATTAGGTCTCCATGCCAATCTGGTCTTAACTCCTGGATATCTCTTTTGACTGCATCTATCCAACGCTGCTTCGGTCTGCCGCGAGGTCTTTTCCTGTTTAAGTTGTTTACAATTACCTTCTTGACAATACTATTATCCGCTCTCCAAACGTGACCAGCCCACTCCATTCTAGTGCCTTTTACAAATTGTACTATATTTCCTTTTCCATATAATTGTTGTATTTGTAAAATTATGAACTTCAAACACTCATAACAATTTAATTTGATTTGCTTGTAGACATTTTTTTTTGATAAAGGTAGATAAACTTATAAGTAATCTTGTATTAAATTTTCAAATCCTAGATTTAAAAAGAAAAATTGTAATGAATTATCAACTCAAAATAATTTGCTAATTTTCGTGAATGTCAAGGTTTGAACTTTAAACACTCATAAGAAAAAATTGTAACTAAGGATTTTAAAATATTTTTCAACTGCTATTGTAACAATATAGTAGGAGCCTTGTACTAAATTTTCAAACTTTTCCTTATTATTTAGAGAAGAACTTTCAATTTTACCCTACAAAAGCACTAAATTTGGTATCAGAAATCATTTCTTATGTTGATGATCTAAATATTTTTGTACTATAAAAATAAAACTCTGTGTACCTACACAAAAAACTCACATAACTATAAAATTGCAATAAGCCTTGATCGCCCCAATTAGAATAGAAAAGACTTCATCTATAAAAGTATAAAACGAATACAACAGCTGTATAATATAATGCAAATCGATATAATATCATAAATAATCGTTAAATATTATAGTACATTAGTATACCTCTGCGTAAGTATAGTTGGTATATCAATATAGGTATCATATTTTTGTGTCTTAAATAATAAATGTATTCTTTCAAATATACAATTGCAATTGCCCTAATGATTCAGCCCTTTTCCTAGTTGGTGTTCTAGACTTCTGGTACAGACTAAATAAATCTAAATAAAGGTCATAATGTTAAATTTTGTATAAGAGCTTAAATTACTAACTATATGGAAATTTTAATTAATATTACTGAACGTCTGTTAAATATTTATATAATTTATATAGTATTATCAAAATCAAATTTATGATATTATCAATAAGAAATAAAAATATATATTTTAAATTTTTACTAAATGTCAGGATACTAAGTAGAGGTAGTAAGTATGTTTATCTTGCCTATCAATTTAACATCAATTAAATACCGGGCATGTTATATTTTAAGCACTAGGAAAATTCAAGTGATGATTAGTTTTTTTATCAAAAAATTGGAATTTGTCAATAACTATTTTATTATAAAATGTACACACATTATTGTCAGCATTACAACTCGAAAAAAAAAAACAGGTATTAAATGCTGTAAATATAATGATACCATATATAAACTTTATTGATACATTATGAATATAGACTACTTACATTAACGATTAAAACTTTGTGAAATTAAAAAAATTATACATTATAATATAACGAATGAGTAAGACTCAGTCAATTACACATTCAGCTCCTACTTTAGTAAATGCTTCTTTTAATTTCTCTGCTTCATCTTTACCAATGTCTGATTTGATAACCGTTGGAGCACTTTCGACAAACTTTTTAGCCTGAAATTGCAATGTCATATGAAATATTTGGATTATGGACATAACTATTATAGGTAGTACTAACCTGTACTAAATTCATGCCTTCCATTAAGTTTTTTACTTCTTTTATCAAGGCGACCTTTTGTTTATCATCAAATTTCATAAGTTTAACGGTAAAACTTGTCTTGACTGTTGTAGCTACTTCGTCTTCTTCATCCTTAAAAAGAAAAAATTAAAATTATAATTTTGATTCTGGTTAAGTAAGTTAGTTTTTTAAAATTGTATTCACTTGTCCTGCTGCAGCTGGGGCGCTGACCATTGCTCCCATGGGAATGTCTTTTAGGTTAAGACGGACTTTTAATAATTCAGTGAACTCTGACACTTCAATCATCGTCAAGGAAGTGATTTCTGTGTACAGTTTTTCTAACTTGGGAGAGCTCGTTAGTTGGCTTCCGTCTGGCTCTGGTACAGTCAATGGCTGCGCGACGGCAGAGTACATTCTCAATGTTCTATAAATGATACAAAAATATGTCTGTTTAGCTAATGAATGACCATAGAGATTATTAATTTGTCCGTCGGTACATACTTCTTCGACAAAGGTCGCAAATGTCGTCCAAACATACGAAGTGGAGTGGTTAGCAACATGTTAACTAGTATAATATTTATGAAATGTGGCTATTACAACAGAAGTAATTTGATTTTGAACGAGTTAAAGAAGTGAAGTATTTACAATTTAGTATTCAAATTAAAAGGTCGATAAGAAATTTGGTTCTTCGGTTCTCCGGAACGAGTACGACGGAAACTAACTAAAATGATACCAAAAGCATAGCCGAACAGCTGCTAAGAAAAATTGAAAATTCTTAAAGGCGGGTTCACACTACACGTGTCGTGTAATATATCACGGTTACTCAGTTACAAACGATACCGCATAGTTGAATATATTCAACTTTTGACCGTGTGGTTACATTAAGTATGAACCCGGCTTTATCTGCACATAAATGTAACCACACGGTCAAAAGTTGAATATATTCAACTATGCGGTATAGTTTGGTAACTGAGGTAACCGTGATTATATTACACGACACGGTGTAGTGTGAACCCGCCTTAAGTTTTAGTTTTTTTATCAAACACGGGACCACGCAAACGATAATATCGCATACCAATCATATTGGGGTAAACGTTGAAGAAATCATTAACCACGGTATAAAAAAAATAATGTAAGCTGTTATCAATATTTTGGCGGGTAAATACAACATAAAAATGATACAATGTACATAAAGCAGTTTCATATTTATAAATGACGTATACTACATTACTACCTATTATACAAACAAATTTCGTACCGACCAGACTCTATAGTAATAGAATAACTGTATTAATTTTTTTTAAGGACATTCTATTTTTTTATAAATATATAATAATCGTTACGTTTTTGCTGTGCACGTGACAAACGAAGGCAGACCGATTGACATTTTGTAGGGACATGGGTATTCAAGGGCTGATTCCTCTTTTAGAAAAATCATGGAGGTCCGTCAACGTATCCGAGTTTTCCGGATGTACTGTGGCCATCGACGCTTATTGTTGGTTACACAGAGGTGTGTATACCTGTGCCGAGAAATTGGCAAGAGGAGAAGATAGTCAAGCGTGAGTACTAATACTCAAAGTTATGCCATTTTTAACCAGTAAATTAATTTTACTTTGGTATGCACGATCAAAAATTTGTTTGAATATTTCAAAAGTCTTGAAGCTTAACTAAGTCTTTGAACTGTGCGTAGGTTTTGAGTTTTAGAAATACTTATGGTATTGGTTGAAAAATTAACAGTAATGTCAAAAGTAACAATTATTGTAAGTACATTTTATATGGGTTAAGAAATTCTTAAAAAATTAAGAAATATATTTGATACACCTGAATAGGTATTGATTACAGACACTTTACCGGTTCTTACATTTCACAGAATGTAATTATACTTAATATTCATATAATTTGTATTGGCCTAACTATAGGTTTTAGAGATTATCACCTATCTTTATTTAAAGCAACTACATTCATCGTAATAACATTTATCGAGCCTCCAGTCTTCCAAATTGAATTCAGATTCAAGATCATAAATGAATTTCATCATTGGTTCAACTATTGGGGAGGGGGGGGACTTAGTCCCCCTGACTATGATTAAAATTGAATACATGTTATAATAAATTATTTTATAATTGACGTAGTTTAATATTAAATCTAATGCCTCCTTGGTCTTTATTCTGTTTAATTTAGTTATTATTTTAATTTTTTAGGTATGTATACTATTGTATGCGGTTTGTGTCTATGTTGTTAGATCAAAATATTAAACCAATTTTAGTTTTTGATGGACAACATTTACCCGCTAAAGCTGATACTGAATCAAAACGGCGAAAGTAATAATATATTAATTTATACATATCATGAATATAATTATTTTTTGTGTCATGTTAAATTATTGGTTTTTACATTATTATAATTTATAATAATTGTTTTTTAGACTAAGAGAGGGAAACCGAAAGAAAGCGGCCGAGTTGATGCGTTTGGATAAAGGAAAAGAAGCTTCATCCCTTTTAAGGCGGAGTATCGATGTTACTCATAAAATGGCATTGAATCTCATTAAGCGCTGCAGAGAGATTAATGTTGATTGTATTGTAGCGCCATATGAAGCTGATTCTCAATTGGCATATTTAAATTTAAGCGGAATCGCTCATATAGTTATAACAGAAGACTCAGATTTGTTGCTGTTTGGTTGCAAAAGAGTAAAATAATTGATTAATATTCTTCTTCTTCTTTCTTGGCGTTCTTTGGATTTTTTTTTGATTAACTTTGAATAATATATCGAAATTGCCTAACTTTTAATATGCTTACAGGTTTTATTTAAATTAGACCTAAATGGTGCTGGTATATTGATTGAACAAGAAAAAATACATCTTTCAATGAATATCAAACCTGAACAGTTTAGTTTCGATAAATTTCGTTACATGTGTATATTATCGGGCTGTGATTATTTACCTTCTGTTCCTGGAGTAGGATTGGTTAAAGCTCGACAGTTTATTACTAGAACAAGTGAACCGGATATCTACAAAGTATATTTTTCCAAACATTTTTGCTTATATTTATTTTAACCTAATAGTTAATAAATGTTATTTCAATGTTTTAGGCACTTATGAGATTAGGATCTTTTGTGAATATTAAAATTCCACCTGAATACCGTGATCAATTTATGGATGCTGATCGTATGTTTCAATACCAACCTGTATTTGATCCAATATCTCGTCGAGTAATACCATTAAATGATATGTCAGACTCTAATTTACCTGTACTTGTTTCAAAGCTAACCTGTGATCAGGCTTATCAACTTGCACTGGGAAATATAGATCCTATTTCTTTAGAAGTAGTAGATAGTTGGGATCCAGATATACAATTAGTAAGAATGTATTAATTACATTGATAATGTATATTTATATAATGGATTATTGATTTGGTGGTTTCAGACTCCTGATAGAGTTGTGAAAAAGAAAATTATTCAAGCTCGTCATAAAAGTATTTGGTCAAAAGACTACCAACCATCTAAATATAATCCAAAAGTTAATACTTTTACAAAAGACATTTTCAAGAGTACTCCCACTAAAAGTCCCAATGTGTCAAAAAAAGTCACTCGATCATCACCAATTCTTCAACCACCTGTAATTAAAAAACGTCTACCCGGTATTTAAAATATTATTCAATATAGGCACAAACTCCTACAATAATTTACACCTAAAAATATATTTTTTTTAGTGACTGAAGACGATATATTAAATACTCTTGATGAAATTTATGAAAACGAAGACATTTTGGAAAAATGTGACAGTATTACTGAAGAAAAACATCAGCTTGAAAAATCACCATCTACCAAAGATTGTAAAATTAAAAATAAACCAGAATCAGATGCAGAAGAAAATGAATCGCCTTCATTTTTAAAACAATTGACTAAAAGAAAGTATACAGTTATAGACCCAGATGTTCAAATAGTTAGCGGGTTAGTTATTAAATTTCTTTTAAATTATTCATCCAAAGTTTTAATAAAAAATATTTATTTATAGTTACTTTTCTCCTCAAACATCCAAAAGTAGTGAAGTTCTTGAAGAAGAATCAATGAATCCATTTAAATCTCGCAAGATAATCGTTGATAAACATAAGGATACTAATGACCATTTGAATACCTCTTTAAATTCTAGTAATATTGACGAAGGAAACATATCGCAGTGTCTTGAAGACGAGGAAGTTAACACTAAAACATTAATTAAAAAACTGCCTATTCAAACGCAAACAGCCTTTAGTTGGAAGAGTTACTCAAATACAAGAATGGTTTCAAGTAATGAAGTACACAGTGAAGAACAAAAATTCCAGAACAGTCCAGATGACACCTTTTCAGTTTTCGATGATACTAAAGGAGTAAGAATCTTAGCTCACATGCAGTGGTCGGGAGTAGTGAGCTAATTGTATCGACGCTACTTTATTTGTTGTGATTGACCTATTAACAATATACCTAATGTAGCAATTTACTATAATGGCCCTAGAAATTTAGGTTACTGTAGCAAAAATTATCATTATTTTGTCGCTACATACAAACTTTTTGGTTTAGTTAAAATTAAGATAATATTTTATTTATTAATTTATATTATAAAGTGTACTAGTGAATTTTTCGTGTTTAATTCACGATTAACTCACATAGTCCAACTTTGTTCAGTGACCAAATGTCAAATCAGCACAAATTACACACTACCAATTTACGATCAGAAAAATTTTTAAAAAAATATAGCTCGCTACATTTAAACAATAACGTTAGAAGTAGCTCACCTAATTTAAAAAAAAAAAGCAGCTACAGCGTGCTACATTCTTTGGAGTGGCTGTAGCATTAGTGCACCATAAAAAATCAGTAGCGTCCCGACCACTGTTTACATGTTAATTATTCATATGTTTGAAAGTATTTTAGATACAGTTAATATGTATATTATGATGTTTTATTAGATATTATACTATAATATAGTTATAATTATTATAAAATTAAAATACACTTAAAGCAATTGGTTTAAAATCATAAACATTAGAATTCTCAATACAGTCGTCTTATTAATGACTTGACATTATTTTTTGTTTACACAAATTATACACTATAAATCAATTTGTTAAAAAATGCATATAAATTAAAATACATCAAATCTATTGAAATAAAATATTTAGATTATTTAGGAAAATATTTTCATTTTATTATTATATAAAATAAGTATATCTCAATGTCAACAATTTTTTAATATTCTATAAGACTTGTTACACTATCATCTGTAAAACCGTTGTTATTTAAACAGGTGGACCATGTAAATGATATCGATGAAGGATTCGGTAGTCAGAGTACAAAAGAAACCAACAGTTTTACTAGTCTGACGCCAAAACAGGGAAAACGTTCCTATCCAAGGACCGGACTGTCTAAAAGTACTGGGAAAAAAGGCCAGAGTCTGTTGTCCAAGTTCGGTTTCAAGTAAGTGTTAATTTTGTTACGGTAATATTTAAATTTATTATTTCTCAATTTTACAGAACTGGTGACAAATTAAAACGTTAAAGCAAGTATGTGCTCAAATGGTGATTTCTATTCACCCAAAGACTGAAGGAAATAAGCTTAAGCCGTGACAAAAGCTTATGTTCTTTAATATTTAATTTTTTTTTCATTGTTAGGTTTTAGATTATTATTTATTATACATTTAATATTTTTACAAGGATCATTACAAATAAAACATTTTCTACTCGGATATATGTATTATGTTTATAGTTTATTCCAAAATTGTATCGTATAGAATGTCCGAATTGAACGCTGAAACACGGTTTATTTTCAAACACTGCATAATTGAATTTTCAATTTATAATTTTTGTATAAAAAAATATAATATGCATTATGCATATCTATTAATTCTTTTTATTCGATTGGTATATTATATAACGATCTTTGTCCTTCATTAATTATTCAATTGATTGATAATAAAAAAATTAAGTTTCGTATCAATAATTTTTTTTTTTAATTCAATAAAATACATTCAATTGCTTAAACGCTGTGTTAAAAGTTGCCGGCATTCTAACTGTCGTCAAATAAAACTTGTAATTCTCACGAAGAAAACAATTAATATATATATATATAATAACTATATTATATACTTTAAATGATAATTGTTTACTGTTTAGTGTTCCTAACTCCATGAGAGGCGATGATCTATCATTACAATTGGTTCCCTCACACAATATATGACTAAAATTATACAACTTATTACGACCAACAAATGGAATGTTTATATAGATAAATAAAACTGATCTTTCTTACAAACATAAAAAATTAAAAAAAATTAAAATGTGCTAACTTTTTCTATATTTCAATACGCTCCAAATATATATAATATTTATATTACTTAATGTTAAGTATTTACAATTAATTGGTACAAGACGGTAAAAAAAAAAAAATTAATATTAAATAAAATAAAATTATCATTTAAGTATATTTTTACATCATATTAGTAGCACCCATTAAAACTTGGGATTTTTTTACTTATTACAATTCAATGCATGCGTATTACTATTTATTGAACAATAATACACACATTTATATTCATATTTTACACACTAATATAAGATCCAGAAAAATTAATTTAATTTTTTTGTCTAATAAGTCTACCTATATGAATTTGATTAGGTATAAAAAAAAAAAAAAAAATGAAGAAAAAAAAATCACAACATTTACAAACTCATAGTATGGTTGGTACCTAATTGTACTTTCGAAATGAGGACGTATTTTACTCAAATAGACAAACAAATATATAAGTAGGAAATCCTTTCCAAGTGAATAGCTGCAAAAAAATTAACTTCCAATTTTTGTTACGCTGATTTGTATGGATCGAAAACCAATTCAGCCGTCATTGAACCTTTAGTGCAGCATACAATGATAATACATAATATTATAATATTATATTCATGTTAATAATTAATACATTTTAATAAAATAGTTCTAATTGTAATAATGAAACTAATTTTTTTTTTTTTTTTTTTTTTAATATAAGTAATTATACATTTAAATAGATTTGATATTTAAGTAAACAAATTACTTGAAGAGCAAGCAAAAAAAAAAAAAATCTAATGAAAAAAAAAACAAACGCTTAAATCCTGATGACGCTGTATTTTTTCAGTTCAAAAATAAATGTTTAAATTGTTTTGCATCCATGCATAAAATAATACATTTAGGTATTCAAAATATATTAAACGTATACTCTGATGAATTAAACCCCTACCACTGCTATTATATTTTGGGATTTGAGTTCAAGAAAATTCAATGAATAACTCCAATTTAGATAAGAAAATATAGACCTTTTTTTAGATAAAAAAAAAAAATCTAAGTATAAAACAAAGCAGTTATTATGACCCTGAATGGGCCTCACTGGGATGTCTTAAAAGTTGAGGTTGACTACCAGATTGAATATGCCTAATAGGCTGTAGTCCCAGGATGGTTGTGTGAAGAGGAGTCGGCTGCAAGCCAACCTGTTCAGTCTGTAAATGTTGTATGGATTGGACAGCTGAGGTGGTAGCGTTACGGTTTCTAGACGGTGGCGGATCCATATGTTGCCGTTCATGTAGTACAAGGTGATTTTTTTGCATGAAACTTTTACCACATTTTTGACAAGCGAAGGGTTTATCTTTGCATGTGGCATTTGGGTATTTTACGTGATGCTGTTGTAAGCCATGTTTTTGAGTAAAGCCACGGCCACAATCTCCACAATAGTGAGATTTCTTATTGGCAACAACACCAGTTTGATGTTGTGATTGGTGATGATTTTGTACATTGGCAATACCATTCGATACACCTTGTACGCTTTGTTTCAACGTAGCAGCTAGACTACAAATATCGGATAGGAAACTATGGTCGCCGATGTGTAATCGCATGTGAAGTGCTAATCCTTCATCACTAGCAAATGTTTCACCACATTCACTGTAAATAATTATAAATATTAATAACATCGTTTATTTGTTTACTTTAGTAAATCATAAAATTAATCAATACATACCGGCATGCTTTGCTCGCAGTTGCGGTATAAGGAGATCTATGTACTGGTGTTGATGAGTTAAGGCCACAGTTTCTTACGTGAACCAATAATGTGCGTCTCTGTAAAAACTCTTTACCACAAGCGGGGCAAGATTCAGGTATACGGCCATGCTGCCGTTCATGGTTGACCAATTCAAATTTACGCAAGAATGCAGCTCCACAGTCCGGGCACACAAATGGTTGTGTTCCTCCGTGGAATCTTGAATGCATGACTAGATGTTCTTCACGCGAGAATGTCTCACCACAAACCTGTAAGAATTTGATCAGTAATTCAGAAAGATCATTCAGAAAGATCCATGCCTAGCAAATAAACACTTACAGAACAAGAGTACGGTCGTTCACCAGAATGGAATTTTATATGAGTAGTCAGATGACGTTTCTGAGGAAATCGACGGCGACATTCTGGACACTCAAATGGTCTATCTCGAGTATGCACTCTTTCATGACTTACCTAAAGAATAATTATTGTCATACATTACAAACAAGAATCAAGTAAAATAATTATATTATAATTACATAATATAGAAAATACTAACCAAATGATGTTTTAAGGTAAAACTTTTATTACATTCTAAACATTTGTATGGTCGTTCCGAGCTATGCAACAGCAAATGAGTACTCAGACAATGTTTGAGAGCAAAAGTCTTTCCACATTCAGGGCAAATATGAGGCCGCTCACCAGTATGACCTCGCATGTGAGTCGACAAATGATGTTTCATTAGAAACGTTTTGCCACACTCTTCACACCCGTGAGGACGTGCTTTTGGGGGCTAAACAGTTAGAACGGGATTAGTCAATTGATCAGCAGTGCATTTTAACAAATAATAGGATCTCACTTGTAACGGTTTGATTTCAACACTAGAACTAGAATCGTGATTGACAAGCGCTGCAACGGCTTGCTGCTGTTGCTGTTGATGGTGTGTATTTAAATTTGGATTTCCAGTTTTTCGAGTGAAATACTCTCCATCGGTCGTAGACAATTGTATAGGCGGCGCCAAGAAATGTCTAGCTTCTTCGTTCATAAAAAACATACTTCGAAACATGAGATTGTTGCTCATCGTTGTCACGTCATTCTGGTTATTTTTTTTGGCCGCAAGCCGAATATGTTGTCCAGTCGCCGGCCGACCCTTCTTTGTCGGTTTGATCGGTTGTTTCGGTTCGAAGTACGCAGAACCTGAGTTGGCCAACGGCAGTGCGCACGCACTATCAAGGTTCAGCCGTTCGGTCAGATGGTCCGTCACCAATCTTATTGGCTGGAGACTGTCATTGTACCTGTGGACAACAACAACAACAACGACGACGACGGGTCTATAAGTATGCTATGCGTGAATATGGACACCCGCGGACGACGTTCCGCGCGCGCTCGTCCACTTACCTTTTTAACATTAACTTGCAACACGGACACCTGAGCGACTTCGGGAAACGGCTAGGTTACGCACGGTCACGCACAGATGACAATCGAAGCAGCCGCTGGCCGAACAGTGGTTGTGACCGTCCGACGGCAAGAAGTCCAAAACACTTGGGACGCGCGCGCGCGCATCGTCGTCCCTAGACCTTGTCGAACGCGCAAACGGTTTGGGTGCAGCAACGATCCCGAACGGACGGAGAAACTACCTACCTAGCGAATCGGATTAGGCATCGTAAACAACGGAAAGCGTCAATGACATCTTCTGTTGTGTTGATAACGTTCCGCCATTTTAATTGTGTAGGTGAGTCGGCGGCGGGTCGTCGCGACGATGATTACATGCGCGCGCGGGGAGACAAAAAAAAAAATCGACGTAAACGTTGAGAGCGAGCGAGAGGGAGAAATAAAAACGAAAAGGTGTATTAACCAACATCTGTCGGGCTGGGTGGAGGAACGGACGGCACAATAATATCGCACCGGACGGACCGCACAAACTGCCGCCGCCGCATTCGCAGTGCGCGCGCAACCCCATCTGGCGGACAGCGACGCGACGGTCGCAATCGTTTCGTCCATGATCACGCCCCTATAGTCGACTACAAATTTCGAATGGCGCGGCCTGCAGCTGTTCCCAAAAGTTTCCGCCAAAATTTAAAAAGGTTCTCCCACTGCCCCCTTTTCCGACAAAAACAGTTTGGTACGACGCAACTAGATATTAAACACTTTTTCGAATCGTTTAGACAACATGTCATTTATTAAAATCAAACATATACCTACCGTTCAACTATACCCGAGTAGTTATACCTACTTGACGGCTTTTTAATATTGGTATTAAAATATTTTGTTTAACATAATTTACAATATTAACATTACTAATTATTCACAGTAAATAATCAGTTCATATTGTTTGTTTTTTAACTGCACATATTATTTGCTTTCCTTAGTGCATAACTGAACGCATATTTAACACATCCTTGGACTTGTTAAAATCTAAATATATATATGTATATGTAACTTAATTTGGTTTGCAACCACTTGTAATCAAAACTACTGGACCGCTATCGATCAAAGTTAATTATATCAAAATATTTGATAAGACTTGTGAAGAATTTTTTTTATTTCGGAATACCTCCCCTATTTATTGGGTGGTTCACACAATAATATCAATGTCGAAACACAAAATAATACTTTTCGTTTCTCTCGGATTCTCACTTCGGGCCACAACGTTTTTAAAAATAGCTTTCTGAATTAAACCGATTTACTCTCGTGAAGTTAATGCAATCAAACCGAAACACTCCAAGCGCCGGCGACCAGGTCGTAGATTGCTCATCTCGATTGGATTTGTGCACAAATCGATGCACAACGACACGGTGACTTGCCTGTGATCTGAGATACACTCGATACAATATACACCACGAATTGTGTATAATTGTTCATTTTGTTCCGTTTGAAGTCGAGTATAGTACAGGACATACGCTAGAGTAATATAACAAAAGAGCAATTTTTTAAACCTTTTAAGTGTATCTATAACAATAATTGCCACGAACAATGCCTATTATATATATAAAAAAAAAAATATGGCTTAAACATTTACGTCGCAACGGTTGTCATCGTGCTTCAAAAATATCTATTGAAAACACATAATAAACATTGTTATGTCTAATTATTAAACATTATTTTCCGACCGTCCTACCTGTTCGTTTTGACTTAAGTCTTATTTTTTGAGTTGAGATGTATTCGGTTACAATAATATTATTTCTGTGTTTCTGCGTCTTTTCGGAATCATTGGGTGGGCTCGTGGTTTTGAGTCACGTCCCACCGGATCCACGGAAGAAATCCGACGTATCGCAACATTCGAGAGGAATGGACCATACGGCCGCAGATTTGAAATTTCGATCGTCATCGCCATCACCGATCTGCGACTGTTCGCAGGTACCCGAACCATCTTATCCATACATCGTCGGTTCGCAGGTACCCGACCAACCTTATCCATACATCGTCGGTTCGCAGGTAACCGGGCGCCGTCCACCTTACCACGACGTTCCGCCGGAAAACGGATACCGTCCGCCCCACATCAGCTGTCCAAAGGAAACCGGAAACCGTCCACCGCCGTCGACCAATAACTGTCCGACGCATGAATGCCATCGACGCACATCGCCTCCGTGTCCGCCTCGCCGAACATCACCACCATCATGCATGACTTGCCAGACTACACTGCCACCGTGCAAGAAATTCCGGACTCTACCACCGTGCACCACCTGCAGCCGAACATCACCACCATGCACGACTTGCCAGACTACACTGCCACCGTGCAAGAAATTCCGGACTCTACCACCGTGCACCACCTGCAGCCGAACATCACCACCATGCACGACTTGCCAGACTACACTGCCACCGTGCAAGAAATTCCGGACTCTACCACCGTGTACCACCGGACGGACATTACCGCCATGTACTACGTGTAGGACTTTACCATCGTGTACCACCTGCCAAACAATACCGCCATGTAGCACCTGCACCACGTGCCAGACCTTGCCACCTTGTTGCAAGTGCCAGACCTTTCCACCTTGCTGCAAGTGCCAGACCTTTCCACCTTTCTGCAAGTGCCAGACACTGCCACCTTGTACCGCAAGTAAAACGCTTACGTCGTGTACCACAATACGACCTCTAAAGTTGAGATTCCTCGGTAGCTTAACCACACGCCGCCGCCGCCGCCGTAAAAACAAAATTTTGATCAAGACTTGAATTATTTACAGAATCGTTATTCTATTTTTAATTGCATTACCTAAATATTTAATGCAATTAATTGGAATAACGATTCTGTAAACAATTAAATTCATTGTTTTTTTTTTTTTTACGGCGGAGGCTCGTGACTAAGCCTCTGAGGAATTTCGACATGGGCCAGGTCATGTGGTACACGAAGTCAGAGTTCGACATGCGGTACAAGGTGGAAGTTTCTGACACTTGGTGCAAGGTGGCAACGTCTGGCACTGGTCAGGTGCAGGTCTGACACGTGGTGCAGGTGCTACATGGCGGTAATGTTCGGCAGGTGGTACACGGTGGTAAAGTCCTACCACCTCGTATTGTGTAGTTTTGTTAATTTATTATGATAGTAATAAAATTGTTATACATTTAAATATATTTATTTTCGATACACTACAAAGAGTTTTAATTAAATATTTTATAATATTCGGACTATAATAGTAAATGCTGATTCCTTTACGAAAAATGTTTACAGAAAAATATATATAATAGGTACACAGTATATTTGATTTTTACCATAGTTTATTTGATTACCTCCACAGGTCAATTCTGGGTTTGTATTTTCAAATATATTAAAGAAAAATACTTCAAATATGATAAAAATAATGACAATTATAGTAAAAAATTAGTAAAAACCTACGTGTTATTTCTGCAGAAATATAATATAATATATAATATAATAATAAAAGTTAAACTTACATATTATATGTATAAATAAAATGTTTACTATATGTCTTATTATTCCTTAAATGTATAAATATATTTAATAACACTAAATGCATTGATTATTATTTTATAGGATTTTGTAATCTTACACATCGGAAACGAATAACCGTAGATTTTTAGTTTTTTTTCTACAAATATTAATAACATTTTATTTGTTGGGTCAAATGCATGAAAATTTAATACAAGGCTCCTTAATAAATATATTGTTACAATAGCAGTTTAAAATTATTAAGAATACATGGGCGCCATTTTTTATTAATTTTTATTAATTAAACTAATTATTTTCTTAATTTTATAAGCATTTAAAATTCGAATTTGGACAAAATTTATCAAATTTAATGTTAATTAAATTAAATTCGTTGTTTATATAATTATATGGTACTGTTTTTAAGAATTTGTTATTAAAGTCATACCAAAGTAGGTATAGTTGTGTAGTATACAAATCAATTAACTTCGTTATTTTTATCTTTATTTTGAATTTGAAATATTATTAAATTTTGTTATTTTAATTATTAAAATAATAAACTTAACTCTTAAGCTGTAAAGTAAACATTGATTATACTTATAAGTTAAATTAATTTTTTTTTTTTTTTTGGGGGGGAATTTTTATTTTTCCAGGAGCGCCGCTATTGATCCGCCCGGCTATGTAAGTATACAACGGTAATTCACAGGTATAATTGGCAGGTAGATTTTATGTTTAAAACTAATATGGAAAAAACTCAAAAAAGGCTTAAAATGAATTGATGTACCTAAGTACAATTATTTTCAATTTTAGTTAATTTTTTTAGATACGTACAGATTATTGTATAAATATATATAGACTATTGTCTATTAGCCTATTAGGTATAAAGGTATATTATTTATTATTCTATATTGTATATAAGGTTTTCGATTCGGTAATTCGGTACAAATTATAATATATATACATCTATACACAATACATTATACACTTAAAATAAATATACCTAGGTATGTAAATTTATTTCGTGTTTCTATTGCTTCATAATAAAATGGTGGTTACAAATTAAGTAAAACTTAATGTGACGCTATAATGGTGTCTAGTCATTTCATCGTGTAAAAAATTTACCACACGACAATAATTGTTTGCAAAAATTCATCACAATAGATTTCAATACAAATTTACCGATACAATTTGAAATTTTTTCAAATTTCAAATAAGATACATTTGGCGATTTACGATCAATAATTTTACGACAAATTCGTATTTGCGATCAATTGTGGTTCGGTAAATTTATTGTGATCTATTGTTTTATGCGGTGAATTATTTACGATCAATTGTCGTAGTGCTATAACATGACGCGATTGGTTGCCGCACATTCGATAACGGCGATCACTCATATTATTATTGTATTTAATGTCATCGCTATTTATTAATTCTTAACAATATTCATTGCTATATTAATTAATGAGAAAAACGTCTTAACTAGCTATTATTATACCTATATAATATCATGGTTTAAAATTATATTGTAATTGTTGCAATAATCGTCAATTATCAGCCCATTAATAAAATATCATTAGGTATTTTCTAATACGTCGTAATAATAAAATAATTATATCCAATTTACCAATTTCGTGTCCTCCGGCCTCCTGCATCCCTTAAAAATTAATGTTTCGTTTCAGTATACTTTTATTTTTTGTTAAAAGTAAAACTTATGTAAAATCTTCTGTGAAAACGTTTAATCTTAGCTATGAAAAGAATAATATATTTTATGAATTTCTAACCCAAAAATAATTTACAACATTTTTCATGGCTATAAATAGATCAAAAAAAGAGTCAAAATTGTTTGAAAATTTTACCATGTTTGAAAAATGTTGATTTCTAGGATTATTCTTTTTTTAATTATAACTAAATATCAAAAATTGATAGATGAACATTTTAATTTACCGATGAAAATCCAATATCGTTAAAATTTTAAATTAAAACCCTCATGCAAAATGAATGTTACTTTTTGGTAAACTTTTTCTTGGTTTAAGGTAGGTTTTATATCAACATTTCTAATGAAAGTAAATTTATTATGAATTTCCAACTGAAAAATAGTTTGAAAATCTTCGGTATTTTGATGTATTTATCAAAATTTGAACTTCAAGTCTTTAAATGCATACAAAAATAATAGTGCCTATGTATTTTTAATATTATTGAATATACTATAATATTATTAATAAAACGTATAAGGAACCTTGCATTAAATTTTCAAGTTTATTTACTAAGGGAAAAAGTTTTATCGAGAATTATATTTAAAAAACAAATAAGAAAACTAGAAAAATTCCTCAAGGCTATAACTACATTGAAAATGATAATATAAATATTTGGTGAAAATTTCAAAAGTCTACAGTTATGATTACACCAAAAAAATAAAGTCGATTTTTTCAAAAATTTGTTTTGAGTATAAAAATTACCACTTTATTTTGGTTTTTTAGTCGCTTTATAAAAAAACTTGGAGCTCTAAATTTTGACATCTTAAAAGTACCAATTAGATTCTATGTTCTTTCGAGAAAGATGCTGATCTCGAAAATTGTATTATTTTTACTACCCAAAATGTTGATGTCAGACAGAAAAAAAAACACACATAATAAATTGTAAAATATATGCTATCTTCCACTGCGCTCAGAATTTAAAACGATTTATCAATAATAACTAAATTTATAATTTAGGTTGAGAGGTCTCAACAAAAAATTAGCCCCGGGCCCTAAAATCCCTAAATATAGGGTTCTGCTTAGGGCTAGAATTTGTGGTTTTTTTTCAGGGTCCTTAAAACATTTGGTTAGTAATGCTAACGAATATTGATACACATGATTTTCTATTCAACGTATTTTAAGTATAATGCATGTTATGATATATTGTATTTATATTCCATGGTATATTTCAACGAAAGTATTGTAAAACGCTAGATGCCGCGTCATATTACGCTCCTAATTAAAATAACAAAATAAAAGTAATTTTGTTTTTGAAAAGAAATATATAAAAATGTTATGGGTTCATTTAAAAGAAAGTCTAACAAAAATGCTTTAGCTTACATATAAAGTAACTTCATTTAGTCTATTCTAAAATTATAGGATGCTCCTCTTTCACTTAATGGTATAAATATAATACAATATAGAGTTATAATAATAGTACTGATAACAGTCCGTAATCAGAGAAAAGTTGTTAGCCGAAGTTAACGCTGAAATCTGGCTCCAGATGTTTTAGAACGCTCTCGAGGTCATAATATATCCATTGAATAAATAAATCCGTCGTACACTGGATTACTGCAATCGTTGTATATAATAAAAGAATCTTACCCGTTGTCCTGGACACATGTAAATCGATATCGATTGATGTGTGCCTCGATATCATGGGAATATATACGATGCATGACAGACTGTCATTGACAGTACATGACAGGATAAATGAGTATAAATTAAATCTGCAGCAAGAGACGTCGAGTACAACTGTTGTGCACTTCACGCAGGACCTGATAATATTCATATAAACTATATTATATAGGTGGGTGTAGACTCACTGGATGGTGGAAGCACAGTGCACACTGAGGAAAGAATAAGACACTCTCTTGTAGGTGACCCGAACGACGATGGCAAGCGGTACAAAGGGATTTACCTATCTCTCTCGTCGGCGTCAAGTCCATTTATCAGCCAATCGTCGTCTTCGACACATTTACCGCTAAGTGATGATACGAAACGATAAAGTGTGTTCCAGGTTCCTCTTTATTATAGTATTTTATGTAATTGTGCATAACTATACTCTATAATGATAGTTGGTGTGTTTGTTCCTTCGGTCAATGCGTGGGTACTCAGGTGGTTTACCCCACATACTCAGGTACTCATTTCAGGGACGTATTGGTTCGACAACAATTCAATATATCATTATTATGTGTAGGTAATAAACCAATAAATCTATTTTATATTACCGAAAAGATTACACTGTAATAATCAGTCACTTTATGCATCAACCAAAACTTGGAATGGCTCCTCTCTGCTATGGCGTATAGAGTAGTATTTGGAAATTATTTTTGTTATAACATGGTATCTTCATTGTGTATTTTGTTATATTTAAATATATTTTTTTTTTGCAACGGTATTTTAAAAAAACTAAATGCGTATTTAACAATTTTCAATTTTCAATTTTATAAATCCTATTTCTAGTTATAACTTATAACTAGGTAAGTGGCATTTTGTTGGACGAAACTCTAAGATAACAATGATATTATGTACGAAGTATTCGCAAGTTCATCGGC